GGGCTTGGGGGGGGAAGCGCCCCCGGTAGCAGCCCCGCTCCCGTGTCCCCCGTCCGTCCCCCCCTCCGCGGGGGGAAGCCGCTTCCCTCCCCCCCGGGGTGCGCCCGGGCTCCGCGCCGCCGGTTCTCCCCTCCGTGCAGCCGCTGTGCGGCCGCCGGAGCCGGGGAGGGAAACGCCGGCCCGGGCCGGGGAGCAGCAGGGCAGGGCTGGGCTGGGCTGGGCTGGGCTGGGCTGCTCCTGCCCGGCGGCCCGCACGACCCGAAATCCTCCGAGTCTGGGGCGGAGGAGAAATAATAATAACGACAATTAAAAAGGAAAAAAAAGAAGAAGAAGAAAAAACAAATCCCCATCCCCAAACCTGCCAACCCCCCCGTGTGAGTGGAAGCGGTTCACGAAGCCCAAGTCTCCCTCCGCTAAACTTTTCCCGCTGATCAGAAGTCAGGTACCCAACCCAGCGAGGATGCAAAAAGTTCAGCAGCGGGGGAAAAAAAAAAAAGAAAAAAAAAAGAGATTTTGGGGGTTTCCAGCAGTTCCACGCGAACGCACTTTTAAAGCCGAAAGGCTAGAAACGTTTGCCCGGGCTCTCGGGATTTTGGGAATGCCTTTTTTTTTTTTTTTAAGGGTTTTTTTTGTTAAAGATTAAGGAGCGAAAGCTAACGCGGTTCCCAGGCAGCGGGGGAAACCGCCACTTTTCATCTATTAAAAGCGAAGGTGTGAATAAACACTTTTAAAGATCCCTGACACTTGCTTGGACCGAAAGAGTAAAAGGCAAGTTGTCAGCAGAGGAACTTTCTTTCCCAACCAGCACTCGGAGGGGCGGCAGGCAAATTAAGCAAGAAAACTTCTTTCCAGGGCTTTTCCCCTTCCCCAAATCCCTGCTCACCCGACTCTGGCTGATTTTTTTTTTTTCCCCACCCCCACAAAACTTCAATTTAGGAGGTAGCTGGGAGGAAAAAAAAAGGAGATTGCATCCAAAATAGAAACAACAATACACATGGCAGTGCATGCTGCTAACCTCTAATTCCAATTAAAGTGACTTTCTTTTTTAAAAGAGCTTTTTTTTTTGGCCCATTGCACTGCACCTTTTGTGACGGAATATAAAAAAGGCGGGGGGGGGGGGGGAAGGAAGAAAAAAAGGAAAAAATAAAGTTGTGCTTACTCCCAGCCAGAAGTTATCTTCCAAAAGTGAAGCAGTATATCATCATTAACACAGCAAAATGCTCAGACATGCACACATTCAAATATTTCAAGCACTGGTGACTTTAAAAAAGACTTTGGCAGGACTAGAGCTACAAAACCAACAAATACAGAGGCTCGGACATATTCACTTACATGCCTGCATGTCATTAATGTATAGAAAGCTTGCCTTTTCCCCGAGAGATACGGGATGGGGAGTAAAAGAATCAAGAAAATATCAATATATACAGGTTTTAAGCCTACAAGTACAGCTGATAAATCCTCCCACTCCAGGACACCGCTTTGTGCCCCTGCTCCAAAGGGGGGGGGGGGGGGGAAACTTTTTTCGCTGCGTCTCTGTCAGCCACGTTTCAATATTATTTCACATTTGAAATCCATTTTTTTTTTAATACGTACCCTTTGCGCCATCGGCCTGCTTGCTCCCTTCCTACTTCAACTTCTAATATATCCTCTTTAAGGCCAGTGTGAAAAGAAAGAAACGCAAAGTTCCCCCCCTCACCCCCCCAAAAATGCAAAAATCCCTTAGCGTCGCCAGCAATGAAAGCAATCGAGTAAAATCTTCGGCTTGCTGGATCTCAGCGAAGCGATACAGTAACTCAGCATTAAAAAAGGAGAAAAAAAAATTAGAAGAAAAAAAAATCAACTCTCCCTCCTTCCTTCCTTCTTTTTTCTTTCTTTCCTCTCTCCCTCTCTCTCTCTCTTACTCTCCCCCTCTCGCTTCCAAGACAGCAGCGGGGCGAAAGCAAATATCCTTTCCCCAAATCAGGGTTGGTTTTTTTTTTTTTTTAAAGTGCCCCTCAAACCCAACTACCAAGTCTCATGGCTTTTTGCCACTCCGGCTGTCAATCACAGGCGAGGTTGTCAAGGTGGTGAATGACTGATGATGATCCGCTGCGTGTGCTCCCACCGCGCAGGACACCTCAAATGTTAATTTTCGAGCGCGCTCACCCCCCCAAAAAAAAAAAAAAAAAAAAAAAAAAAAAAAATTAGGAAAAAAATAAAAATTAAAAATCGAGGGAGGAGGAGAAGGAGGAAGAGGAGGGGGAAAAATTAAAAATTAAAAAGGCCCGCTAACGCGCCGGCTCTCCTTTTATTATGGTTATTATGATGATGATGATGATGATGGGGGGTTTTTTTTCGCTCCTCCTCGGATCGCTCCTAATTCCTCGCCGGCGCCGGCTCGCTCTGCCCCTGCGCGGCCGCCGGGCGAGGCTGGCGGAGGCGGAGGCGGGC